AAAAGGAACCGCCTTTTCTAGAATGAAAAATATTTCATTTCCAATATAATGAATAAGAAATAGACTTTACAACGGGAAATGAAAAACGTATGGTTTTATAATTCGTCGCATTATTAATATGTTCTGTTGAACTTTAAATTGACTCGCCAAGCTCGCTCGGTGGAAAACCTTGTTCAAACACAGATTGGACTTCATGGAGGGATCCTTCATCAGCTGGCTTTATTCACAGTATTCTCAATCAAAATTCACTTATCATTGCTTACTTGACATTCATATTTTTGAAGATGTATGTGAATGTGAACAATGTGTGAATGAAGATGTGAAGATTCCAGTTTTAAAAGCCTACTCGTATTTTTCCGGTTTGTCCTGAGAATTTTCGTTTTACCAGATTAATTTTAAATATGTAATAATTTAAATAAAAATTGGATTATATTTTTTAATCAAGCAAATATTAATATAGTTTAATGAGAAATAACGCACTTTGGAATACGCTTTATTTTTTATCTTTATATTATATTTCTTCATCTGTACTCAACAGCCACGTTCAAAAATTTCAGAAAAATTACGTTTTAACAATTTAAAAAGCTTTACTGTTTAAAATTAAACTTCATAAGTCGCCGATTACGCGATATTTGAAAATATGACAAAAAATGGGAGAATGCGAAAGGTAGGTTGAGATAAGGAGTTTGTGTCCGGACATCGAAATCGCGATAGTTCAAATGGTTGGTGCAGTTGCGTGGCGTGCTGAGCCTAACGTCGTGGGTTCGAGTCCCGCTCGTGACACTTGCTTTTTCATCTCAACCAAGACTTTAGATTAAAAGTATAATTAATTTAAATAGTTAATACGGTCAATTATGACTGCGAAATGCAATATGGATTAATTTAAAAATAATCCGTCCATCTACCTAGACAGTGTGTGTTAATAAATATATTTTTAGTATAACTGTAGATAAATAAATATTCGTTGAACAAAGCGACACCTTTCACTTTACTGGATCGTTCTATTCTCGTCGGTTTACATACTAATAGAGATTACAGGGACCCAGTAAAGTGACGTGTAGATCGATTCAACATGAGTTCGTCCATTCGCAGACAAACAAACACCACCAAATAATGCACAAATAAATTGCTCAAAAATGAATAGGGGTATTTGTAATTTTCTCTATTTATTTTAGTTAAAGTAACCGATATATTCTTATTAGTTCGATAAAACAAAATAGAATATACAAACCAAAAGCAAACAAATGTTAATCCTCACTTTTAATGACAGGTTTAATTACGAATAGTAAACATGAAGATTACTCATTTTGTAATAAAACACCTTTTCTCGCCTTTTTTCCATTTTAATCAAGTTGTACGATCTTTAATCATGGAAAGACATCATCTTTAACCAGAAGTTCACAATATTACTGAGTGAGAATGAGTCATCTAGGTCACCAGCAAGTTGATCGCAGAGGCAGTTGGGGTTTCTCAGAGCGAGGTCTCCCAGGCTTTACCCCGATTCCGAGACTGCTAACAGGAGGCCTGGTAGTGATTTTCAGCGCATTACGGCGCTTAGGGAGTACAGAAATATTGTCATTGCTGCAAGACGGAACACTTTCCACAGTGCCCGCCATATCAATGAAGTACAAGATTCACTAATTTCGTGGTCCGCTTGACCAATTAATATATTACAATTAATTAAGGTTTTTAGTTGAGATAAAAAAGTCAATGGCACGAGCGGGATTCGAACCCACGATCTTCGGCTAGATACGCCGCTGCTCTACCACTTGAGCTATCGTGACCACGATCCACTCGAAAAATGGCAAAAAGGAGGGAAAATTCAAAAGGTGGGGTTGAGATGGGAAGTTCGTTGCAATATCTATGGAGTGAAATTTCTTATGAAATTAGTGACAACCATATTAACAGGTTCACAACGGTTTTAACTAACAGAAGACATTATACATGGTATTAATTGTTTAAAACAATTATTGTTTCCAGTAAAAAATTATGAAATTAAAACCTTTTATTTTGTTATTTTTAAAAAATCCTAAATTAAATTTTCCTTTAGTAAAAAAAGAATAATTTCTAATAAATTTTAATGCAATTTATAATCAAAATAAAATAAAAATGCTAGGGAAAGTAAATAAAATTGGCAATATTCCTATTAATTTTTGAGCAGTTTATAATGATATAAGGACACATACTTTTGTAATATGTATAATAATGTATAATTATATAGTTGTTAATTTAGAGATAGCGTTATCGCCCATTATCTTTGTGATAGTTGCAACGCGAGAAAATATGCAAACAAAATAATGCCAATTGCACTAATTGATGAAATATACTTTATAATTATAAAAAATATTATAAATACTTTTTGTGAGACACAATGAACAATAATTGAACTCAATAATTGTTTTTTAAAAACAATGTCAATTGTTTTGTACAAGTTCCGGTATAAAACAATGAGCGACATATTTCACAGATTCTTTAAGTTCAAAGGAACTTGAATTTAATAACGGACTTCATTCGAAAACCAATATCATCAATTTTTAAAATTAATTAATTAAATTAGTAATACATTTTAAAATTAAACAATTTAAAATTATTCTATAAAAAATTATACGTCGACCGACATAAAACTTTCGAATTAAGTTAAATATGTAGTGCATTTTTCATGTTTTATTTCGTAATTTTTTTATTTGTTTATTTTAATTGTGTCTTTTTTTTCTTTGATAAACCAGAAATGGGATCATCGTGTGTTTTCAATTGCGATACATCGACGTTTAAACAACATTAAAGTCTATTGATTCGGCTTGGAATATCGCGATACAAATGTATGAATTGCCGCGAAAGTTATTTCAAAAATTAATTACATAATCATCAATTGCAGGTTATCATGAAATAATTTACTAATAATACTTACTCGAGTACAATGTAGTTATGTAACCAATTTACTAGTCAAATCCCAAATATTATTTTTGTATTCAAATGTTGATATCTAAATTATACTGTATGTTATTATTTTTCTTATTTTATAATTGTCATTGTTTAATATTTCAATGTTTTCCATGTTTGTAAATGTTCTTTGTCTTTCTTGTAATTATTGAAATAAAATGGGCTAGTGCCATTATTGCCATTTTAGTAAATAAATTCAAAGAAGGAATATGCTCTAATTTATTGTTTATAATTTTCGTAAAAAATACGACTAAAAAGCGAATTTTTATTCGTATTTATTAACTGTTGTAATAGACTAGGAAAACAACGACCGTTATTGATTCGCGGCCGCATTTAGTATGAATCCAACAGGCCCACTATAATGCATTATACCGACATTGCCCATCGTATTAGAAACAAACTTTTTTTTCGACTGTACAATTAGTCATTCTATGCCAAAAATATACATATATATATATATATATATATATATAATTTTTTTTTTTTAAACAATGGTTAATAATTAAAACAATAGTCAACTTTCCGATATTTCAAAATGTTCAAACGTATTTGGGGAAAAAGAAAAAAAAAACCTTTTAGGCGGAAACTATCGGAACGTGATTTTGATAAAATAATTTTTTAAAATCTTTAAATGTAAAGCCCCCTTTTATAAAAGAGTTATAAATAAATCTTATATTAAACGAAATAAAAAATATATGATTGAGGGCATCACGGACGTGCATGCCCAAACATAAAACCGCCGAAGGGAAACAAACCAGTTTCAACCACTTGTAAATACACTTTTACATTTAAATTCCCTCTCAATTTTTATTTCAATTCTTTTAAACTGTCCTGGAACATTTAGTCAAACAAAAATTCTTCGGCAGTCGTAAATTTTGAAATATCCTAAGTTGAATTGGACGATTAATAAATTAAACCCTCTTAAATAAATCAAATTCAACTAGCTTTAACAATAAATGTCAAGAAGCAGCCCTTTACTTTTATGAAAATGAATTCAACGACAAAAATCTTACATTCTACGACCTCCACAAAAAAAAAAAATAAATAAAAAATAATCCATTAGATTTCGTGGTCCGATTGACCAAATAACATCTTTCAATTAATTAATCTTTATGTAAGGTATTGGTTGAGATAATAATATGAAATGGTCAACATCGTCGTGTCCCGTCCTGAGGACAATTGTTCTACGATACAACTTGTTCAATGCAAATGAAAATAAATTAAAAGAAGAAATATTATTCTCAAAAGTAGAAATCACACAACTGCTTCAACTGTTTATCAGAATTGACAGATTTAAATATAAAACTCGACTGAGATGTCATAAACAAACAATATTACCATGTTAATATAATTAAATTTGAAATTTACGTAAATACGATAACGAGACTCATAAAATAATGTTTAGAGCGTTAATAATTAATAATTGGCTTAATTACCAATTAAGGCGAAATTGAAAGGGGTTAAAAAAATCTGCTATGTCGACAAATTGAAAAATAGTTTACATTTGTAAGGCCATTTATTGATTGGGGGCCCCATCAAGGATTCAAACTGCCATATTTAATTTTAGAATCATATAAAATGAACAGGCGCCATTTTTGAATTTATGCATTTGAAAATTGCAATTTATTATTTTACAAGGTAATAGTAGGTGGTTTTGTTCAATTTTAAACTTAACATAAATCGATTGGGGAAAGCAAAAAGACGGATCAACCGCGAAAATCTAAATTCGACGACTCGCAACCTCTTGCAATTATCGGAACAGTCATCCTAAACAAAAAAAGTTTTTAACCCTGAGAATGTTTTGAAAATCCGTTGAATACTTTCGGCTTCGGCATAAATAGGTAAAAACAATAAATTGGTGCATTGCAGATAAATAAGCACGACAGTAAATAGTTATGTCTATTAGGCTGACCGTAGAAGACGAATACGAAGGACGATGCGGGCGAGAAGAAAAACAAAGCCGTCGTTCGACGTAAAGTCGTCCGCCCTCCTCAAAATCGGGAACCGAATCCGGCCGCTGGGGTCTGCAGAAAAAAAATCGGGGATCCAGAAAAACTCACCTCTCCGTGACTGTCGGTCCGTCCGTCTGGCGTGTTTTCCGGCAGGATGTAGAGCCTGAGGCTGGCGAGGGTCTGATCGTTGTTCTTGTCCTCCCACAAAAGTTGTAGCTCGCCGATGCTGATGAGGTCCGAGTCGGTCCAGAGGCGGACGAAGAAAAATTCGCTTAGGGCAAGAATGTTGCTCAGACCGTTTTTGGTATATTTGAGCGCCTTGTAAAACACGTACGGGCCGTGTTCGCCGCAAGGTGAGCCGACCAATTTGTAGTCCATTTTTTTTTAAATTTAAACTTAGGAAAAAAAATTTTCGGACTAAATTGATCGAGAACAATTATTTCTAAGCGGGCTCAGTTGGGGGAAAAAGGCCGGGCGCGATGTTTTTGAAACGGCATTATTTTGAAAGCACTGGGGGGAGCGGAAAAAACGGAAAACGTCAAAAGCCCAATATTTCAAAAACGGAAAAGGGCTCGCACTGGAAATTTGACAGGGTGCAGGCGGGCGGGAAAATGGAGCCGCCTGCAAAATTTGGCCGGAAAACTCGGCCGACAACCCAGCGAAATCCGAGGGAAAACCGAGAGCCGAAATAGCACGCGGCCAACAGATCCACTTTGTATTTACTCTAATTATGTGACGTCACCGATACTCCTCCGTACCCATAATGCCTTGAAACCAAACAAGCGCCGGGTGGGGGGCACGAGCCGAGCCGATTGCCGAATGGCCACCCTCCTCCGACCGCCACTCGACACTCGTAACTTGCCAGTAGTTCTCGTTCTCGTTTTCCTCTGTCCAACGATCGCCTTCGTTTCACATTCGTTTTACAGCCTCCTTTGGATTAACAACTAACACACGGACTCAGAATTGTAAGTGTTTGTTTCCTCCCAAACCTTGCGTTTTCGAATACCTTTTCCCCACTCGCCCGCACTCTCATCTCTCTTCCACTCGAAAATTTCCAGCCCCTCGTCTTTAACGTAACGTTCCGTACGAAAATTATCCGTATCGGATCACGTGAACTGCTCGTGTCTTTTTTGAAAACCGCAAAGGTGAAAACTGTAAAGTGTACTTTCCGTCTCTCATCCTACATCTCCTAACCCCTCCTCCATCTAGCTTTTCCGTACTAACGTTAAAATTTATTGATTTTTATATTTGGGCGCCAATTCATATCCATATTGTACACATTTAATTTTGTACATCTGCTATTACAAAAACAAATGACTTTGAAATTCGTTATTGTAAACTGTTTGTTTCGTTTTGTCAATGATAAACTTGATTTATATTTTATTTCTGTTTCCCTCTACCATGTTTTCATCCATTAACCAATAAATTTGAATGCCAAACTGACTGCCATCTATGAGGCCTATTTGTATTTCACTCGTCGCCATTTTCTTCCCACCCCTCATTAAATCAATATCAACAAAATTGAGTGAGATAATATTTTCCTCTTATCTTTTTTAAATGGAAATTTCATTCTTTTTAATATGTAGATTGGCTTAATTCGATTACTTAACATAACAGATTGACAACTAATTAAATATTAAAATACTGCTTTCAATGAATTTGGAGATTGACTGCCAACATTCATTACTTAGTAACATATCAAAAGTCCTTATGAAGATGTACACATTTCTTAAAAGGAACGAATTCCTCAACGAAGGAATTGAGTCATTTCTTTTCAACATCAGCGTCTTCTCATCCCTGATCTTTTTAATATAAAATTAATAGATTATAGTATTTATTCTAACAGAATTATTCCAATGAAAACTAATTCATATTTAACCAAATTAGTATTTAGTACAATTTAAAACCCATCATAATGATTGTTAATATTCACTCCTCTCATGAAACATTTTTTTTGTTGAAGTTTTTAAACATATTACAAATAAGTGGAGTTACATATAAATGGAGTTGTTTATAAACTCCTCAAAGACGTGACGAGGGGAGTTGGTAAATGGCCTGAAATGCATAGAAATATAAAAAGTGTTGAATTCATTATCCTTGCCACTTCCCGAAAATAAAAAGAAAGAAGAAAACATAATATTACATATGATGAACCTTTTTCAAAATGGTACATTATTACTGGGTTTTTTCCTAAGCCAAAATACAACTGCTTCTTTGTCTAAATTAAATTATTCTTTCATATTTATTTCTTATATTTGACTAGTTTGGTTTCCTTAAAATGTTTTGTTTGGCATGTTTAGAAGGCCATGAGATTTGCTTCTGCGGCCTGTGGGTGACGAACTTGTAATTTGATCGTTATTGATCATCTTGTACTGACAATTGTGAGGGTAGGTAGGTTGAGTACTACGACTATGCAGTTGTTTCATAAAAATAATTGTAAGCATATAAATAAATTTGTCTGCCTTCATGAGGTAGTGAGTGTTGTGAACATTCTATACAAGTTAGACAAAAATTAATATAACTTTAGTTAAATCTACTTTAGGTCTCTTCCATTCCATTAAATTATGTTAAACTATTCTTGTAAGAGAAATGTAAATGTTCGTTTTCAGTAGTCAAAACTAGACACTATTCTAAATGTTCTGAGAGGTAAAAAAATGTGTTCAGTTAATAAAATAATTGTAAACTAAAATACATCAATTATGCAATCTATTTAGAAACTAATGCTTCAGGTTTATTTCTTTTTACATTTAAATTACATTCCACTTTTATTGACAAAACATTAAATTAAAGCTAATTTGATTATTCATGAAAGAGTGACGTTGGGCTAAGGTCTGGTTGGCAGAAACTTGAAATGCCCATTGATTTCTTCAGCTGTATTAACGCTGTAACATCTTTGGAGAACGTAAGTTGAAGGAAAGGAAAGATTATTGGCCAATTTATCTGCAGCAAAATTACATCCGTACCACAAACAGTTACATCGGCCATTTTAGAACAAAGCTAAGCTTACTTTTTTAATAAAGAACAGAGACGATAAACTTCAATTATCAACCCTAGAGACAAAATTTAATTACCTTTATTTGCTGTGTCAATAAAACTGTGATTCATTTTTTAGGCAAATCCTATCCTGGTGGAAGTTTGTTTAGTTTATTTCAACGGTAGATCTTTGTCACAGGATCAGTGTTTAGCCGTTTTAAACAGAGACAATTGGGATGATATTTATTCATACACCATCGCTGTTTTAAAATAGAATGGTGGATGAATGAAAAAACTCAACAGATAGACTTCAATCCATTGTTATTATTAATGTTGATCTCTTTTGTATTTCTTTATAGTTAAATAAAACATTATTATTGTAAACTAAATAATTTGTTGTTTTTACAGTGCTGCTTTTGTTTTCTTTCCCTTAAATTCCATTTCGTCATTTCTACTTTTTAAAAAAATTTCTTTCTTCAACACAATATTTCAATTAAAACTATGTTTTGGCAGAGTATGTACACTAGAGGTATTACTTTTTAAAAGTAAGTGCTTTTTTCTAAATTAAACATTTGTGATTGTAATATAAATGATAAATACATTTATCATTACATTTTTCACCTCAACCAAGGTCAATTATGACCACTAAAGATATAAGGATTTATGATTAAAAATTAGGCTGGTTTCCCCAAAGGCGAGAACTTCAATTTAGTGATTGGACAGTTGTTCTTTAAAAAAAGAGAAAAAAACTTTAAATCGGTAGTACTATGTCATGTGATTATTTTTAGAAGTGACTCAATTCAAAAAAACTTAACAAGAGTATAATGGGATATAAGTGTTTTTCCAGCAATTTTCTATTAAACGCACTGTGACATAACAGTCACAGTTGCCAGTGTGAGCCAATAGTCAGGAAACCATTAAATATGGTGAGTCAGCTTGTTTCAACCTGACAAATGCAAAAAGCGAATGGCATTCTCAAAAGACCTCCAAAATATTGTGTATTACAATTTATTGAGTCATATTTTTTTTTATAAAAAATGTATCCAGTTTTCTTAAATAGTAAATTTTAGTCTTTCTATCCCGACTTTCTTCCCTACCCCTTCAAAATCCAATGTATATAGATGTAAAATATCAATATTTCATTGGCACTCAATAAACACGACACCCAATAATGACACATCTACACAGAAAACAAACACTTTGAGTGAGTGCACATACTTTGATTGAATCTAAAATTTCTAGCATTGTACAAATTCTTTTTTTTCACATCCTACATGTACTTGTTCAATTTAAACAATGTTTATAAATCCCAGGCCCAGAAGATGATCTCAATAAAGTTTGAAACATTGGCACAATAAAGAAAATGTTTTTCTAAAACTTACATCACACCAGACCACATCTCATGATCTCCAAATAATCATTAAATTTTAGCTTCGATTTGGAACAATTTGATTAGGATAAAATGCATACTATATAGTATATATATATATANTATATATATATACACACCAAGTTTCAGTTCACAATCTGACAGAAGAGAAATATCAATCAAAATTGATTTCCAATACTCATCCTGTACCATTTATTCACCTCAACAGGAATAGGATTATGTTAAATTTCTCACATTCTGTAAATCTATGAGAAAAAACTCCATACATACATAAAATACATGTACTGCAATGTAGACAAGAACAAAAATAGAATAGAAGTATCACAAATTAACTTTCAGTAAATAAAATACCCACAAAAATAAAAAGTATTGCAAAATAACATCAACAACTTGGATCAAGCCTAAATTATAAAACAAAAATTTACACTTTTAATAGGTACATTTATGTTTACATTATTTCACTACCTAATATGTGTACTCTGGAATTAAATTAAGCCTCTTGAAGTGATCATCAATCCATTTTCTGAAGTGAGCAACATTTACATAGACAGCAGGCGTCTCATTGCCACATCCAATCCCCCAAGCCACAATACCGACTTGCTGATACTTGTACTTCTCCCCAGGAACTGGGCAGACCAGTGGACTTCCTCCGTCACCCTATTAACAAATAGTAATAAAAGGAAATGTTTTAATTAAAATACTTGTTGAATGTTTTTCTACTAACAAAATTTTATGATTTAATTTAGTAGATAGTGTGTAAATGTACCTTGCATGTGTCTTGGCCTGCGATGCCACCAGCACATACAAAACTCTCATGAAGATTGAAGTATTGACTAAGACGAGTCTTTCGTAATTCTGCTTCGCAAGTATTTCTATCAACCATCGGAAGGTCGACCTTTTTAAGAATTACCTGGTACTTCCCCTTTTTTCCTAAAATAAAAAACAATATTGTATATTCACAATTAAGAATATAAAAGCCAAATGCATTTGTATCTATATCTACACATTTTTCTCAAAAATAAAATTAAATTGATTTTGAAAAACCCATTGTTACTTGCATGCCCCTTTGTTATTGATGGGATAGGATGAAATATTTTCATGTTCTCATTTATACTTAATCATGCAAATTATACTTTTTTTATTGCCCAAATATTTTTGGTTTTATTGCCTGTGTAAATATTATCTAATTTTGTCAATAAATAGTGTATGTATAATTTTTTCTTTCCTGTTTTATCATATATCTTTAATTAATATCCCAGGTTCACTTTTACACGAAAGTGCTAAAAATACAAGTTTTTTCATCAATTGTAATAATTCATTTCATGTGATGTATTCATAATTAGTAACCATTTCATGATGATACATTTTTCCATCTTTAGATACATTTTTCCATCTATATGAACAAAGCAAACTCTTGTTACCTAAATATTTCTTTTCGTGATAAAACCACCCATTAGAAGAAATAAAACATTATGCTAGAGGTTTAGCAAGATAATTTAAATATTAGTTTTACAGATTTGGCGCCAGAAAACGAAGGAAAATATGCAGAGGGCTGGTGATGACCTCAGCTGTTTGTTGGCCCATATACTTCCCATTTTATAGAAGTAATCAAGTGTACAAAAGTATACACTAATAAAAAAATATATAATACATATATTATATTTGTTTAAACGTTATGTATTGTATTAAAAACCTGCTGGGTCAACACCTTACCATTGCAGCCACTAACGCCCTAACCATTTGAATTAATTAATTATTTTCGAAAAAGTGTTTGTACGCTTGTGTAACTTTAAGTAAAATGAACAGGCCATTTCTATCTAAGAAACATGAACATAACTCAGCAAGAAGACAAAAGCAATAGAATGATTAAAAATGTAATGTAAGAATTAAAACAAGATGCAAATAAAATTAAAATGTTAAAAGCGATTAATTTATCACAAACTCCCAGTAAAGATTAGGAACTGTTAACTGCATTCAAAAGCATAGTCAAGTCAATCGATTCCTAGTATGAAGAAATATTATGGCCTCATGGATTTGCAGTTGATTTCCACTTAGTACCCTTAATTTATAAAGACCAAAACAAGTTGAAGAATTTCATGATTATAGAAGTTAAAATTGTTTAATGCTTGTGGAGCATAGAAATGGACACCAAATACATAGAAGCATTGAAGCACTATGTGCACCAGTATCGGCCAATTACCTGAATCAGGAAATTTTAATGGATTTTCTGAGGATGGGACACCACTGCCCATTCTTTCATCGAGATTAATCCATTGGGCCTTAGGGGCTTCAGTAACAGTCTTTGCCCTTTTTGTAGGGTGGAACAAGTTTGTAAACTTATCTATCTTTTCTTTGATGATTTTGTCAAGCGGTCTTAATGTGCTATGCTCCATTTTCGGCTTAGGTAGAAACAAATCTTTGAACTTGTTTATCTTTACTTGAATCACGTTCTGTACTGAGCCCAAAATGGGCGTCTTTATCGACGGTGAGGGTGCCGGTTCCGTTTTATCGAATTCCTTACCGAAAACATCTTTCCCCCATCCGCTTGCAGAGCATTCCTTATTCAAGACTACATCGCCCTGCTTTGGAAGACAGATGATGTCGACATTGTCGGCGAATGTGAAGGGCTCCTTGAGCACCAGCAGGGCGATGTCATTGTACAGTGCCCCAGCATAATAGTCTTCGTGGATGATTATTTCCTCCACTTGGCGATCTTGATGTGGATAGAGTTCGTTTTTAGTTTGTGTGTCCCATTCTCCGGCCCTCACTAGAAGAGGTGAACTGCTCTTGCTGAAATAAACCAAATAGGATTATTTATTATTTCTTTTTAGGTATGGTTTGAGCTAGCAATGTACCGTTGCACACAGTGGGCGGCTGTGAGGACAACCCGCTCGTGTATCAGTGCTCCCCCACATTGGTATGTTTTCACATTCGCGTTTTCAAAGTTTTCATCCAAAAGAATAGCAATCTGAAATTATGAAGATCTATTAAATTATCTGGCGTCTGTAACAAGATATTTTCATTTGCCTTATACCATAGGGCAAATCTGGCCACTCACCATCCATGGGAATTCACCAAACTGGGATTCATTGTCAATAGCCCCAGTGATCCTGAAGCCCACACCATCAATGTTCCTGGTTCCACAGCCTCGCCTGCCTCGCTGAATGGGCTTGATCGCCTCCTCTGAGGGAAGCGGCTTGCCACAGCAAACATCCAGATAACTTTCACAGAGGTCACCTTTCAACCTGCCGGCGAATTATAAAAATTCAAAAAGGGGTTGATAGTTGTTGAGTGAAGAGATAAGTTTAAATAAAATTGAAATAAAAGGTGCCCAAGAGCTTTCTCTTGTCAAAAATTGTGTGCTCCAGTACTGTTACACTATTGACCATAATTTGATCTCAAGGTAAGTGCCATCCAAGTGCCAGTGAATGCATAACAGACATTTGAAAAATCAATTTAAAAAAATGCTATATACACGCTCTAACATTCAGTGCCAATGTGTTCAGTCATTCAACCTGTTAGACTAAAGGGATACATGTACAAATAAAGAATGATAGGTCAGATCTCTAACCAAGTTATTTTTTCAATTATCTCCATTAGTTTTAATAAAAAATAAAGTTTTTATAGAAAACCTCTCTCCGATCTGAAATACTATGTAGCTTTACCTTGCCAAATTTTCTCTTATATATCAGTTCCAAGCTAAAAATATGTATAAAGGGATATGGAACAATTTACTTAATTAAGAGATCAATAAATTATAATAATAATGACAAATGGAAATTGTGTTACAATTTTTTCATGTTAATTGAGAAAAAAAATTAACATCTTTTTAGGGTAAGGTGACAATTTGAAAGACAGCCAGATGTCATGACCAACGTTTTAACATGGTCTCTAAAAGACAATTGTTTATGACAATAATAGCAGTATTGCCATCATCTACAATTTTAATGGACATACTAACTTCAACTATTTAATTTTGAAATATTTTTCACAAAGAGCCTGTTGATAGTAAAGGTGCATGCATTACCCAATCCTCCGTGAATCCACTCTGGTGAGGTAGCATTAAGTCGAGACTTACCAACATTGGCATTTAACATTTCTACGGTTTGAATCGGGAAAACAGACGTTCCATACAGCTGACCTGATATCAAGAATGCCCGTGCCATCGGTGATGATGGAGTTGTTAGCGCAGAGGTAGTAAGGCACACATTCGCACTTGTCGCTCCCAGGAACACTGCTGCCTCCTTCCTTGTTGTTGACATCATGGTTGCCGACGTTGTTGGTGAGATCGTCATTTCTCTTCTGGTTTTTATTCGTATCATCAGGCTGACCTTGATCTTTTCCTCCAAACACCTCCTGGATCAGGGTGGAGAGGTCATCACCATGACCGTTGTCTTGTGCAGCTACGAGCAAAGATCCCAACCACAACACCGCAATGACTGGCAACCGCATTTCTGCAACAGTTGTATTTTTGTGATATATTGTGTACTCTTTAATAGAAAACTATAATAGGTTAATAATAGAGATTTTATTTAAATTCATTGGTATGTTTCAGGGTTTTTTCCCCATCCTTACTATCAACTAATTGTATTTTTGTGTGATTTACAAATGAAAGTACATAACAATTTCATTTTGAAGCTATTACAATATATGATTTTGTTCCAATAGAAATAAAAAAGGACCACTTTAGTTTCTTACTTTATACTAAGTTTATATTTTCTTTCACTGCACTTTATTTATTTTTAGTTTCCCTAGTACCAAGCCCCATATGATTGTCATAACCACTAATAACAGAAAAATTCACACAGGAATGGTTTACTTAGACCTACGAAAACATTTGATACTGTGTGGTGTACTATTCTGGCTTAGGAAATACAATTTCCCCAACCATATTTTAAAAGTTATTCACTCCTGTCTAAGAGACAGAACATTCCTTGTATCTTGTAATAATGCCATACACTCAATTTTCTCTGGTGTCCTGCAAGGTTCAATCCTAGGCCCTGTGCCATTTAATGTGTTTTTCAACTGTCTAAATTACCCAAAAACTGCATAGCAGCCCTAAAAGTAGACAATGTGGTTCAACTCTCATTATTTTTTCCTAAACTATAATCGAGAGATTGAATAAGGAAATAGCTAAAACATATTGCAAATAAGTGTATTGAAAACGGAATGAATATCCGTCACCAAAGAAAGACCTATCTTCAAAACATTCCCGGAAATAGAAGGGATAATAGAAAATGGATTTTCACGACTGCATTAAGAATAGAACCGAAAGCAAAGAGGCCATTAGGATTTTATTCCCATCGCAGTTCTAAGATAAGCATGTTCAACAAGAAACTGACCCAAAACTGTATTGTAAAGAACATGCTCCGCTTGCCCGATATAGGCACATGAGGCTTGCTACATATAGACCTAGATGGACATGGATCGATTACCTATACATTAGCACCTAGGGTCACTGTAGCCCAGTGGATTGCTGAAATTCTGAGGGAAGGACTTTGTAAGCCCATTAGCACCTAGGTGAAGAAATAATGAATAGAACAATGAAGTTTCATAGTAGATTGAATCCTGTATTACCATAAAGGCAAGTCTACAAAGTACAACGTACTCTGTCCATAAAGTATAGCAGCGTCAAAACTATTAGATAATAATCTCTTTAGATGTTTATGTTATAAAATACTACTTCATTCTGTGATAATACGTCTTCACACCGAAATAACTTTATATCTTTTTAGCTTTTTTAATTTTCATTTTATTATTTTACTGTTTTAGTAGTATGGCAAATCGGCGAACTACTCAAACGCGTTTCGGCACTGCGCCATTTAAACTTTACAGTTCCTCACTGAAGACGGCGCAGTAAATGTTGAAACGCGTTTCAGTAGTTGAACAAACCCGTGGGTAGGCGGATACAATAAATGACCCAGTGCCAGAACAGCATACTATTTCATTACTTTACTAGTTTTGCTTTGCAAAAAAAAAAAAAGTTTTCGAAATTCGGTTAAACAATTTTTTTCTCTCTCTAACCAAAAAGTTCCAAGTTAGAAGGAAAAACGTAATAAATATATTTTTAGAACAATTTTATTGAAATATATTATATGTGTTATAATCACAATTTTATTGTGATAGAGTTAATACTAGGGAGGATAAAATAAAGTTTGTAAAAATATTCCTTTTAATTATTAAGAATAATTTTATTTCTCTTATTTATTTATTTACATTAAACTATTTAGTTGATTTTTTTTTATTTGTTAAAAAGTGGGAGTAGATTTTTTTCTTATTTCCGTAAATATGTACATCCAAATGTTTCAAAATTCCCGATAACATCATTTGTCAACAATAAAAATCGACTATTATCCCAAATCAAATTTTTCGATTTATTGATTGGCTCGTATCTCAATTTCATTTACGAATTTGATTGACTTCACACATTTCTGAGAACCCAAGGTTGTCTCAATTCACCATGAAGAACGATCAATTATTATTTACATAGCAGCCGTTTTAGAAGGAAGGTCCTGCAAGCAGGTTTTTCTATAAAAAATACAACATAGTGTTTTCTTTTTATTTTACGATTTTTTAGAAATAAATTAGAATTATTCACACACATTATGTATTGTTTTATTTAAACAGCTTGCATAACTAGAAATAATTTGAGAAATAATTGAGGATTTCGATCCACCTTTTGTAAAGGATGGTTCTACTCATGGAATTATTGCCCGTGAAGTTGTTGGATTTAATTTGGCTCATAGACTGCATGTTTAAACTACATTTGAAAACAAGTAACATTTTCTGTATAAAACAGTTGTACAAGCACTTTATTTTCTCACTTTTTCTAAAGTAAAACTGATAGAAATGTTGTTTAAACTATCCAGATTTCAAGCATTAAACGCTCATCATCAGGTCGAAGGAGTTAAAATACATGAATTGTAAGAGCGAACCCGCCGATCCACCGCCAATTTTTTAATTTATTAGTTACTATTTTTTTAATTCAATTTCTCAAACCAATCTAGTTTCCTCTCTTCATTGAAACTGTGTAACACTCGGCCAATCCACCAATGAATTCATTAGGTTTTGTTGCTTGCCATACATTGGGGAATTATCGGAATAATTTGGTAAAATTTTAAAACAAGAAGGATTTAGAGTAGTTTTTAAAAATGCGTACTTGCTTAGAAACATCCTTAGAACTTAGATGACTTTGACATACTTAAAAAACTTAGAAAAATTCTGTCAAAATCTAAAGACAAGGGTGACACCTTGTTAAAAAAAGGGGGTTACAAACTGAAATGTAATGATTGCGATATCAAATGGTTCAAATATTAGAAAAAAGCGGCAGGGAAATTTAAATCTAAAAGATTAACTGAATTTAAGAGCCATATGAATCATACGAAGCACTATAATTATAAGCAGTTATAATTATAATAAAATGAAATTTGCAGTTCACAAAAATCGGCCAAAGTGACACGTGAAAAATAAGTTGAATCCATCAGCGCATGAACGCCTTTTTGACATAATCGAATCCTATTAAATACAGCAGTTTTACTGAACTTGATTAATGATTTTATATGCGGTTCGTTTTTATCCGCTCTTTTTGGAAATCATCCTCACTGTTCAGAGATTTATCACTGAAGTTGGCGCGAAGCCGAAACGCTTCTGCCACGGCAAAACAACGAGGCGGGGCAGACCAAAATGGTCGGAACCGACCACGCCGTACAATTTACATTGCTTAGGAATAGGGCGAAGCGTCTTCACTCGAAATGAATAAAATATTGAACTCAATCGTTTTGACTAAGATTTCATAAGACAATAATATAGTATTGTTATAAATGAAATCTCTTGTCTATATATACAACTGTTTATACAAATCACACTGTAAATAAATTTGTGGGAGTCGTGAGGAACGGTCAAGAATGAGGTAATTTAGAAAAACACCTTTTTCATTTTTTTTTTGCCGGCGCTTCGACCTTTATTCGGGTCATCTTCAGGGCATAAAGTGTGGTGCATTCTTGGGGTGTCATATTGGCTTTGTGGGAAATAGTTGCAAATAAAGGAGAGTATAGTGTAGGACTAATTAAATATTAATCCATATATGTTTAGAAGTCATCATTGACCTATTCATTATTGTAATAAATTACAATTACGGTCTTAGTTGAGATGAAAAAGTTAGTCACGATAGCTCTAGTGGTTAGAGCTGCGGCGAATTGAGCCGTAGGTCATGGGTTCTAATCCAGCTCGTTACACTGACTTTTTCATCTCACCCAAAACCTTACATAAAAAGTATAATTAAATAGTTAATAATTCAACGAATTGCTAAAAAATGTGATGATAAAATTCGTCAAAGCGTTTACTTTATTACGAGATTTCGTTGGTGTCACATGCATCACCAGACGAATCGTTTGGCGAGTAGATGATTCAATCTTGGCTTTGAGTATTTTAACAAAAATAAGGGGCATCTGGGCCACTAGTCACACTTTGCCTAAACGTTTTTTAAAAATTAATTATATTTTTAATCATAAATTCTCAATTCAAATACTCTATCAGAATAGATATTTCGATTTGGATTTTTATATTATCATAGAATTGTATTTCAATTATATTTGATATCCTATATATAGTCTAAATATATATATAAATAACTGCATCTGGAAGGATAGTTTCTGGATCACGTCCTGTAAGTGTTTTTGTCTTTTTATACGTAATCGGATCTCGGATCGTTTCATCTTCTTAAATTTGTCCATTCCGATTCATATCGTTGCAACGTCATCGAAATAAAGGGATATTTCACTGAAATAAGCAATAGTTATCGTTATGACTGCCAACGGTGTCTTAGAAATTTGACACCCAAACAATAACCGGTTTCAAAGTTTAATTTTTACGAAATATCAATTTCAATTTCTCATAGAAGAGAAATTTGAGATGTACAGATATTCCCTTTTGCATATGGATCTCTAGTATACAGATTTTCAAAAACAAGTAAATTATAACTGACAGACGCATTAGAAGATAGCTTATCGTTTTTCATTCGTGTTTTCAATCATTGTAGTAGTTCTGTAATGCGCCACAAATAATGAAATTACAGCGCTTTGTTTTAAAGTTGTTCTAGCAATTATAAATATGAAAATATTATGAACTTGCTTTTAAAAACCTGTCCGCTTCTTGATAAAGAAAATAAAATAAAATCCTTGTAGAAAACGCCGCCCTTCAAAGAAACATGGATGGAAAGAGTGTGCAAGTAATACATGGATAAATAATAGAGAGAAAGAGAGAAAGTGAGAGAGAGTGAGAGAGAGAGATATGTCATACCTTATCCAGTCAAAAGTGAAGTGTAAACTAGTTGTCAAATGTAGCCGGAATGCCGCAGATCCTTCGCCGACCCTCTGAAGACTAGCACTGAGGAGTGAGGACGGCTGCCTTCCAGTGGTCAGGGTCAAGCGGTGTGACGTCAGTGGGGTCGCGGGGAAACACACACAAACCCGGGCGGAGAGCAGCGGCGAGTCCGTCGCGGCGCGCGCTACGGTGGGGCGGACGATTTTCCGACTTTTCCGACCGCGCACCCTTGACACCATTCTGCTCCGGGATAAACCCACACTTTTGTCAGTCGAGGACGCGGATTTGGAAGAGGTCGGAATTGAGAACCGGATTGATTTATTTACTTCCGACCCGATTTCACAGGAGGATGTGGATGAAGTCTACTGTGACCCTCCCCCTTCCTTCAGAAGTAATTATGGCATAAATAGAAATAAAAAAACAATTGTTATAGTTAATGTCTCACATGATTTTCCATTTACGTTGGATTTCTTGTGAAGGCTAAAGAGCCTTAAGCTGCGTTTCCATTACGCGAAAATTACTAAAATCGAGAATCACTCGCGAAACGGCTGTCTCAGTTTGCGCGAGAGAAGTATACAGTTCATAATTACACTTACTGGAGTATCAGCCTTTGCCATCATGGCGATACTTTATGTTAAGAATGAAAAGAAAAACAAACTAAGAAAACGCCAAGTTTCCTTCCACGCATCCTCTATCTTGTTCTTTTTATGACGACTTATCTTTAGGACCCACAAATATCAATAGCTCTGATACAGTTGGATAAGTCGAATGCATTCCTCCTGGTTCATTCTGAAGCTCGAAGCCGTGCGATCACACGGAAAGAAACAGACAACGCGAAAATGCTCACTAAAAAAACCGACAGCCGTTAGGCTCGCCTCAAAACATCCTCGGCTAGGTATCCGCAACGCGAGACAAGTTTCGCGAAACAGGTGCACGAGTGATTTTCGCGCAGTGGAAACCCGTCTTAAAGCCTTGTTCCTACGGCGGCGTGTGGCTTGGCGAGCCTGGTCTGAAGTAAGTCATACCTCACGCCGGGAGAACATAATTATTGCCAGAGGTGGCTCGGGCATATCCGTGTATGGTCGGTAAATACTCGGACAACAAAGACTTGGGGCTGGACGGATGACGGAAGACTCGGTCGGCTCGAGCACCCCATTCCCACGATCTGTTGCAGTTTGCTGCAGTTGTACCGGTCTATTCTGAACAGAATTCATTTTTCAACATCTATAAATCAAATTAGAACACTTTGTCCCCTGATTTTATTTTCCCCACTTATCCTTTCTTCAGTTGAGAACAATGTTTTGTGCGCAGCTTGGCTATGACCTTTTTTGGGTTTTATATCTTTGGCTTGAAATACAGAGGTTAAGTTGCTCTTCTCGTAGTGTCCAGTTAGACGATGTTGCAAATTGTGGCGTGTGAACAATCGCTGATTAACCGGATTAAATGTGTAAATTTACGAATTACATAATCGCTATTGACGACCTACATTTGTATATCAACATCAGCTATTAAATGGAGGTACGTGTTCCATTGAATGATTCAAAATTCGCTACTCCATCATGAGATTTGATTTTAGTGGCTTTGTAAAACTGTATTTCTATACCAATATTACCAATCATTGACCACGATTTAATATAGCGTAGGTAATTTTTTAGCGCGGTTTTCAGACTTAAACATTCTAATAGATCATTTCCTGCTTCGTTCGAAATTCTAAATAGCACGAAATTACTTAAAGTATTTGTACCATTTTATAATTAGAAAGGCCAGTTAAAGGTACTTACAAGCCGATTGTAACCTGGCTATGAATCCAAAAACGATTTCCGAAGGATTTTGAACCGATGTAATTATGGACTTTCACTCCGAAGGGTTGTCTCTCCCCGGTTTGCTGACCCTAGGGTCAATACCTCAGGGAAGTTCATCTACCCCGTTATCAGGCTGAGTCGCTGATGAGCCTGATAGCCTGATGCCCAATAGATCGTCGCTTCCCAACCATCGGGGTTAATTTAATTACAAAGAGTGCAGTTGACAACCCATTTCAGCATGCAAACTACTATATAGAAAAGCTAACAAATAAATACATTCATACATACAAATACTGTCATACATGGGAGACATACCGTGGAGTATCCGATATTTCTCAAAGTTTAATCTAAAGTTTAGTCGATGGGGTACTTGGGTATATGTGTAAAGGGCGTTGGAGGAATATCCAGTACTCCATCACCCTATTTGAATGAATGGTATGTAAATAGGAGTGAATGTATAATAATGAACGTAATGACGAATGGATTTGGAACTGCATGCGTTGGGTGTTGAATTGACCTAGCTGTTGATAGCAACTCTCCCTCCCAATTTCGGTAGCTGGACGGATAAGACTGAGTTCTGCCCTCTGACTGGCACATCCGGCGTGGGTGTTTTCGAATCTGCCGGTTTTTACTGTTAATAGCAAAAGCTGGAATTGCCTTTGAACTACGGGAAGCGAATAGTCTCAACTCGGCATATGTTTGTTTGTTTGTAGTGCACGTGAGAATTTAAGACTGTATAAATCCAAATCTTATTTGTCTTATTAAAAAAGACGTACTTATGTCATTTGATCATTATTTTAGTTCTATTACCATTGAGACTATGTTGGCGTTGATAAAGTGCCCTTTTTCTATTCCCAAATAATAGTTGCGTGCTTGACACATTTTTAGATTGTAATAATGAAAAACGCTTGAATAATTGTAAATTTTATAATTTAAAAACGATGATAATATGTAATTGAAAGACGACTGATCGAAAACATGATAATGGTAATAAGTAAATTTAAATGACTACTTTTTATCACTGAATTTCTGCTAAAAGAAAGAGGTTATCGTAATGGCACCAAATGGCACTGGAATAGCAATTATTATTATTTATTTACAAGCGGACATTTGTCTTATGAAAGAAATATTTATGTATGTATAAATTTATTCAGCTTTAAAAGAAAATTTTGTAGTGGATATTTTTTCTGCATTCAGAGTACGATAAATACAAGCCTTTCATTAGTGATTCACTATTGAAAATATGTGAGCTGTTGCCAAATTACATGCCAAAGGATGTACTTCAGATATGTATTTTGAATATTTACATATTTTCAATGCCATTTAGAGGAATGATGTAGGTGAGGGAGGCAAATATTCGAAGACAAACTTGGCCATTGTGCAGTAAAAAATACTTAGAGTTGAGATGTCGAAGGATTTTCACTTTCTAAAAGGAGGCTGAAATTTCTAAGAACATTGGAAGAGATCATCCATCGTATTGCGATGTGATGAGAATTTTAATTGGGGTTCGATGATAATACTCTCATAATCTTTACTCTTATAATATAAGACAATCTAGGTTCAACTATGAAAACTGGGGCGAAAAATCGGTCCGATCTAAGATTACAGACCTCAACGAGAGCCTATTTTAAAACTGAGAAGAGATCAAGAGAAATATCCGCGGAAGGGATTTTTAATTTAAAAGCAGCATATCTTAAAAATTTAGTTTGAACCCTTTCAAGTTTGGTACAAAGGTACTTTTGATAGGGTGGCCAGTTAGGACTAGCATACTCTAATACAAATTATGGTTCAAAATAAATTTTTTGACGAATTAAAGAAAGAAAATATCTTTCTAAAGTGTTGAATATTGCAAATCTTAACAATTTATTACCCTCGTTAGTAATATTCGTTATGCTGGGAAAATTCAAAGGCGTGAGCAAATTACACCAAGTTCTTTAAATGGAGTCACAGTTTATAATTGCAATTTATTTCAAAAATAGGATAAATTAACTTTTTTATTACGATTATTCGGAGACCGTGAGATGCTGTCTGGTGTGACGTAGGTTTTAGAAAACGATTTTCTTTATCGTGCCAACGTTTCGATCTTCATTGAGCCCTGGAGATGATCTCAATAAAGATCGAAACGTTGGCACGATAAAGAAAATCTTTTTCTAAAACCTACGTCACACCAGACCGCATCTCACGATCTCCGAATTCATTAACTAACGGTCACTAAATACCACACACTTTTTTATTACGTATAAAAAAATACTTCGCAAAGCATTTATCAAAATTAAGTTTAAGTCAATTTTTTGTTAACCAATCATTGAAATTAGAAAAATAGTTTTGAAGTATTTTTGGGTCATTATCATTATTAATTACATGGTACAGCTTGACGTCGTCAGCAAAGAGCAAGAAGTTTATATTCTGATGTGAAAATGATAATGCGAAACGAAAAACAAGTAAAGTGGCCATGCGTTCTTTTGTCGACACGAATATTCAAAATTATATATGCATTTTAATTCTTGGTCTAATTATGGGGTCTTGCGTCCATGGTGGTCCATTTCTGGTGGCTTTTATTTTTGTGGCTGGTTAATTACGAGTTATTTTAGCATTTAATTGCGAATTAACATAAAAGTGCAAATTTTTGTTTTTACCAAATTCGAATTAGCTCTGTTTTGGTAAACACTCAAATTATCGTAGCGTTATCAATCGCGATACTTTAGGTTGAATATGTATCAGCAAATGGAAATGTAACGCTGTCTTTTTTTAATGTTTCCCGTCTAAGATTTCTTTACTTCATTCCTTTGCTCCTTGGAGGCTTGAGATATGGGTTCGAACCTGCGTATCTAGCCTTTAACATAAACCGCATTTAAGTTGTTACAAAAGTGATTGTTTTTGTTAATCCAATGGAAATGAAAATAAATGATGAAATACGTTAAGACAATAATTCGAACAGTTTTCAGGGGTCTAGAACAAACGAATAATTCCAGTTCAACGGGTACTTTGGATGCAGATGTCAAAATTACTCCCGTTCTTCAAGAATCCCTCTTCGGCCGTCAAAAAATAGTGTTTTGTAAGTTAAATTTTATCGGAGCTGCCGAGATCCTGCCTACAGGGACACTGGGTCGTTTTCATGAAAGCCTGCTTTTTCGATCTAGTCATCATTTTCCAAAACCATTTGTCTCAGCCCCGGCTCCTTGCTTACGACGTTTTACACAGATTCACTGGAAATTGTTTTAACGAATAAACTGTTTATTTCTTTTGTTATTACAAATTCATTTATTTTTGTAAAAGAATGTACG